GTAGCTGGGACTACAGGCATGCGCCACCATGCCCGGCTAATTTTTTTTTATATATATATCAGTTGGCCAATTAATTTCTTTCTATTTTTATAGTAGAGACGGGGTCTCGCTCAGGCTGGTTTTGAACTCCTGACCTTGAGCAATCCGCCCGCCTCGGCCTCCCAAGAGCTAGGATTACAGGCGTGAGCCACAGCGCCCGGCCTCTATTTTTAAAGAGGTTTTTCTCTTTAGTATTTCTTGATTGTTCACACTTGAGAATAGGAAACCCAAAAGCATATTAGAACCTCTAAATGCATAGATGGGTTTTTGGGAAATTCTTGGGTTTATCAGAGTTCTAGAGAAAAATATTGTCTTACCTGGAAAGTGAAGATCTGTCTAGAAACCCTTAAACAAAGGTAAAAAGTGTGGGTTAAGGCTGGTAGATCTCAACCTGTAGTACAATCATTGACTTAATTCTCTTACTTTCAGAATGGTGCTCCAAAAAGGTTGGGGGCCACCGATACAGTTCTTTTAACATTTTAATCCCAAAAGGCTTTTGCTTTTCTGAGAAATGTGACGAAGTGTACTCTTCTCCAACCTGTAAATGCAGTAACTAAGACCTTCAGACAGTTTGACTATCAAATTCATGAAGGAAAGCAAAGTTCTTGATTCTATTTTTTTTTTTTTTTTTTTTTTTTTTTTTTTGGTCTAAATTACTGGAATAAGAATTCTGATTTCATTTTCTAGTTTTTTTTTTTTTTTTTTTTTTTGAGACAGAGTCTCGCTTTGTTGCCCAGGCTAGTAGTGAGTGCCGTGCGTCAGCCTAGCTCACAGCAACCTCAAACTCCTGGGCTCGAGTGATCTTCTGCCTCAGCCTCCCGGGTAGCTGGGATACAGGCATGCGCCACATGCCCGGCTAATTTTTTTGATATATATATCAGTTGGCCATTAATTTTTTCTATTTATAGTAGAGACGGGGTCTCGCTCTTGCTCAGGCTGGTTTTGAACTCCTGACCTTGAGCAATCCGCCCGCCTCGGCCTCCCAAGAGCTAGGATTACAGGCGTGAGCCACAGCGCCCGGCCCCAAAGTTCTTGATTCTAGAGCCGTACAACTACTTCATGTGTCAATGGCAATTAATGGCCCAATTCAGCAAGTCTTTAATTTGAGTTGCAAGATATTTCAAAATAGGGAAGGAAAAATAATTTGAGAATGTTTTCTTATTCATATGCTAGTATATTTAAATCAGTGACATTCTGGTATGTTTTATATAGTACACCTGAACAGGAGCAGCTAATGGTGGTGTGGCTAAGTTGGATGATAAAAGAAGAAGCCTATTTTGAGAGGTAAGATGACTTAATTTGTTTCAGTTAGTTGAGAAAGCTTTTGTTATTCTCTCTTTGGAATTTCATATTTTCTTTTTTGTTTCAACAGTACTTCAGGTGTCTCTGCTTCTTTTGGGGAGATGCTATTATTGGTGGCTATGTACTTTCACAGCAACCAACTTAGTGCTATCATTGACTTGGTCTGTTCCACTTTGGGGATGAAGGTAATTTTCTTTTAACTTCTTTCAGAAAGAAAGTGTTTCTAAGCTGGGCATTTTGTTGTGGTATAAATCAAATAGATTGTTTTTTATTTAAGTAATTTCAGTTTAATAGTTTGAAGTTTTTTCAGTAGCACTTAAATGCATTTTAGAAACATTTGTTTATAAGGGTAATAGCTATTCAGTGCAGAGAGCTTGGAAAGCACAGAAGAGGGAAAAATATCTTATAATTCCATCATTCAGCGATATCTACTATACTACTGTTAACATTCTGATGTCTGTTCCTTTAGAATGGCATGCATATTTTGTAATTTAAAAAAAACTTGCTAATATATAGGTAACAGTTTCTCATATCAATAAATGTTCTAATACAATATAATTTTTAATAGCTTCATAGTAGTTCACCATTGGGACTGGTCATGATCTTTTTAACAGGTCCTTTATTATTTCCCATGTAGATTTTCCAATTTCTGTGTAATGCTTAGCTAAATATCCTCATTTATATATATACACACACAGGCACTCATCTGTCTATATCTTCATACACTTGTTGTATTATTTCCTTAGGATATAGTTGTAGAAGGTAATTACTAATTAAAAGAATATGACTATCTTATGTTTTATTAGTATTACCAGATGATCTTTCAGAAAGATTATAGTGGTTTAGCTATTCTCATTAGTGAATGAGAACTATTTTCCTAAACTGTAGAGATCATTGAGCATTACCATTCTTTTTAATCTTTGCAAATTTGATTGATGAATACTGGTCTCATTTATTTTGCATTTTTTTGATTATTAGTAAAGTTATAGTTGTTTTTACTTTTCTTTCTTTCTGAGACAGGGTCTTGCTCTGTTGCCCGGGCTAGAGTGCAGTGGCATTATCATAGCTCACTGCAACCTCAAACTCCTAGGCTCAAGCAATGCTGCCTTCAGCCTTCCGGGTAGCTGGGACTACAGGCGTGCATGCTACCATGCCTGGCTAATTTTTCTGTTTTTCTTGTAGAGATAGGGTCTTGCTGTGTTGCTCAGGCTGGTCTTAAACTCCTGGCATCAGGCAATTCTCCTGTCTTGGCCTCCCAAAGTGCTGGGATTACAGGCATACGTGAATGCACCCAGCCAAAATTTTTGTTTTTAAGATGTGTTGGCCAGGTGTGGTGGCTTACTCCTGTAATCCTAGCACTCTGGGAGCCGAGGCGGGAGGATTGCTTGAGGTCAAGAGTTTGAGACCAGCCTCAGTAAGAATGAGAACCAGTCTCTACTGAAAATAAAAAGAAATTAGCTGGGCAACTAAAAATAGAAAAAGTTAGCCGGGCGTGGTGTCATGAGTCTGTAGTCCCAGCTACTTGGGAGGCTGAAGCAGAAGGATCATTTGAGCCTGGGAGTTTGAGGTTGCTGTGAGCTAGGGTGGCGCCACAGCACTCTAGCCAGGGCAACAAAGCAAGACTCTGTCTCAAAAAAAGAAAAAGAAATCCATGTGTTTTGGCTGATTGATTTTTTTTCGTGAAAAGTTTATTAGAATTCCAATTTTTCTGTAGGGATTTTTATTTATTTTTCCTATCACTGATTTAAAAGGCATAAAAGATATGCCATTATGCCAGGCACAGTGGCTCACTCCTGTAATCCTAACACTCTGGGAGGCTGAGGTGGGAGGATCCCTTGAGATCAGGAGTTTGAGACCAGCCTGAGCAGGAGTGAGAATCCATGTCTACAAAAAATAGAAAAATCACCCATGCATGGTGGCGTCCACCTGTAGTGCCATGTATTCCAGAGGCTGAAGCAGGAGAATTGCTTGAGCCCAGGAGTTTGAAGTTGCAGTGAGCTATAATGACGTCATTACACTATACCCTTGATAACAGAGTGAGACCCCATCTCAAAAATAAATAAATAGATAAAAATAGTATTTACTAAGTACTTTTATATTGGTTCTGTTTCTGAGGAAAAACACACTTTAATGTTGGATTTTGGAAGCCACTTCTGAAACAGTGTATAGGACTTGAACATTTGAACATTAGTATTATGTATCATAGCCATTTTATTAATAGATAAATCACCAGAGTTGTGTTTTATATGTTATATTTTTATATGCTGTTGGAATTCTTTTGGTTATTTTAGATTGTAATTAAGCCAAGCTCCTTGAGCAGGATGAAGACCATCTTCACACAGGAAATTTTTACTGAGCAGGTACTTTTTTTAATTCTTAGGTATCTATTTAACTTTCTTTAAGAACTTATCTTTGGGAGAAAACTTGTGTATCTCACCTTAAGAGAATAATATGGTCTTTCTCTATTCCTTTTCAGTTTCTAATGATGATTTATTTCATTTTTAAAACTTCTATAAAGAATAATCCATTTAAAATGCATTTTTAAAGCTACTAATTATGTAAGAAAGCATGTTTTAAATTTATATATTTGTGGACAGTTTGAGTAGATACTTATGAACATAGTCTCAGATATTGATGGTAGGCTACTCATAAGGGGTAATCATTTGGATTTGTCAGGAGAAAAATAAAGACCTGTTTAAACCTTTAGTTTGTAAGGTTCATTTCTAACTAGATTACAGGCTAGATTCTAAATTCCTTATTGTTATATTTATATATTCTTATTTGGCCTCAGCACCTTTGTCCATGGGTAAGCCTAAGGATATTTTATTTCTCAGTGAAGGAGTATATTCTAAAATTTAAAATTAATTTCCAGGCTGGGCATGGTGGCTCACGCCTGTAATCCTAGTACTCTGGGAGGCCGAGGCGGGATGATCACTCAAGGTCAGGAGTCAAAACCAGCCTGACCAAGAGTGAGACCCCGTCTCTACTAAAAATAGAAAGAAATTAATTGGCCAACTAAAAATATATAGAAAAAAAATTAGCCGAGCATGGTGGCACATGCCTGTAGTCCCAACTACTTGGGAGGCTGAGGCAGAAGGATCGCTTGAGCCCAGGAGTTTGAGGTTGCTGTGAGCTAGGCTGATGCTACGGCTCTCTAACCAGGGTAACAGAGTGAGACTCTGTCTCAAAAAAATAAAATTAATTTCCAGATTCACTTGTCAATTTAAATCTTAAAACACAAAATATATATATGTCTTTAAAAATGTAGTATTTGAGAAAATACTCATGGGTTCATTATTGTTGCTTCTTTTATGGTAATTAATATCCTTATCCTTATACCATATACTCCCTTCACCCCCCAACACACATACACACGTATATCTCTACATAACAGTCGCATATAGGACATAGGAACTTCATAAGCTTTTTTTTTATTTTTAATTTGAACCAACTAGAACACAATTTTAAGGAGGGAGAGGGTCTTTGAAGGACAATTAGAGATCTATGTATGACACAAAGCAAATACAAATTTCTATTTATATTTGTGTGGTACTTTATAATTCACATATTTTTCCAGAAAAATTTTTTTTTCTTCTTTTACAACAACCCTTTGAAGCAGATAAGGCAGCATTCTCCCTTTTTGTAGATGTGAAAATAGATTCAGAAGATAAAGTGACTTCTCCAAAGCCATTGAGCCCAGACTGTGTGATTCCAAATTTTATATTTTTTTACCTTATCGTACCACCTTGTACATATATGTTTAAAAACTAACAAAAGTTTAGAGAATTTTATAAATCCCTAATTGTATGTATTCTCATCATTTGAAAATAATTAAAACATGTAATAATTGATATTTATCATTCATTTCTAGGGATGACACTTATATTAAGTAGTTATATAGTCTATCAACTAATCTTCTTTCTTTCAAAATAATTTTGTATTTGATTCTATCATATATATATTAATACTATTTTTTCCTCTTAGGTTGTCACAGCTCATGCAGTTCGAGTCCCTGTCACCAGCAACCTGAGTGCCAACATTACTGGGTTTCTGCCTATTCATTGTATTTACCAGCTTCTCAGGAGCCGTTCCTTTACCAAGCACAAAGTGTCAATTAAAGTATGACCTTACATTTATATTTCAAAGAGCAGTAATGCTTTTTTTCCTCTTCTGTTTTGGTGTGTAGGTCTTTACTGTGAGTTTTATGTATAAAATATGTGGTGTTAAGCTAAGTTACTAGGTATTTATATAATGATAGTTATTAAAACCTAATTTCAGATTTTTAAAACAATGTAACTGTTACGTTCTCAAAAATAGCATATGCTGTTTCATTAAAACTTAGAAATCGTCATTTTCTAAATTTTGGTTTTGTTCACCAAATTGGGAAATTTGCTGGTCAGCCATGACTAGCATTTGTAGATTTGTTGTAAGGACACCTAATACCTAACTTACACATATTTTGGTATGTTTTTGATTTGTTATAGTTGGCTATATGGAACAGTTAAAAGGTCCTCTAAAGAAAAGGCTGAAACCCAGGAGGTAAAGAAATCTGTTTGAACCTTTTCTATAGAGGCTCCTTTATTTACAAAGAATAATGAGTAATATATGCATGATATATCACTTTTAATTGTCCCTTTTTTTGTTTCCTTTTTCTCTTTGCGGAGGAGAACTGGAAGAATGTCCCTTGTTTTTTATGATTTAGTGAAATTATTTTCCAGCTAGGTTGCATTTCCTTCTTCTTTATATTTTTAGCAAGTAAAATAGCTAAGAATTGTGTCCAAATGCATACCCAACATTTTTACATGTCCTCTATCTAAAGATAGTTAATGATAATCTTCTGTAAGTGCTCATCAAAGACACTTTCTTCATCTTTCTGAGCGTTTGCTGCAAAGGACTATCCCTCTCCCCAAATTCCTCTCTGCTGTGAGGTCTTCCATGACAACACAAATGGTGCTCTAAATACAGATATGGTAGGGACCTAAAATGTTTTTCTCGCTACTTAAAAACTAATAGATTAAACCCAATGCCAAACTTCTTATCATTTTAGGTTCATCTTATACTTTATAATATTCTCAACATTCTTGATTAAGATATAAAGGTAGTTCATATTTTTAAACCAAAGACAGTTATGATACAAGATAATATATTTGGAACTGGTGAAAGTTAATAGTGAGTTTCATTGATTCATAAATCATTTAAAACTCTAGTGCTTTTATAATTTTGCTTGCCTTTTCTTTTTGCCATAATTGATTGAGTGCCTATAACCCTCTTTTTTAGGACTGGATTTATAGACAGCTCTGTGAAACCTCCACTCCACTCCATCCTCAACTACTTCCTTTGATTGACGTGTACATAAATTCTATACTCACTCCTGCATCTAAATCTAATCCAGAGGCCACAAATCAGCCAGTCACAGAACAGGAGATACTCAATATTTTCCAAGGAGTCATTGGGGTAAAATAGTGGTTCTTTTGTATTTTAGTTTATCTTCTGATTTATTTCCTATTTTTTTCCTATCAGAGGACTTCTAGATGGTTCTGATTTTAAAATGAGATTAAATTTCCTTAGATTACCTTTAAAAATTAAAAGAATAGTCATTAGATTCTGAGTAGTTTATTTGTAGAGGAATTTTTTTTTTTTTGAGACATTCTCACTCTGTGGCCCAGGCTAGAGTACAGTGATGTCATAGCTCACTGCAACCTCAAATTCCTGGGCTCAAGTGAACCGCCTGCCTCAGCCTCCTCAGTAGCTGGGACTGTAGCACATGCTGCCACACCTAGCCAGTTGTTTTATTTTTTTGTAGAGGCGGGGTCTTTCTCTTACTCTGGCTGATCTCGAACTCTTGGCCTGAAGCAATCCTTCTGCCTCAGCCTCCCAAAGTGCTAAGATTATAGGTGTGAACCACCATGCCTGGACAAGAGGAATTTTTTTACAAACTTCATTTTAAAGTCTAAAGGGTGCCCTGGAGATTGTGTTTTTGACCAAGTACTGTGTGAGATTTCAACATATTCAAACAAAGCTAAGCTTTGTTTAGCTTCCCAGGAATCTAAGACATACCTAGGTTCAGCGGTCCCTAACCTTCTTGGCACCAGGGACTGGTTTCATGGAAGACAATTTTCCACAGACTGACAGTGGTGGGGTGGGGTGTTGTGGGTTTTGGGGTGGTGGTGTGGAGTTCACGTGGTGATGCGTGACCCATTTCCTAATAGGTCACGGACTGGTACTGGGCTGTGGAACTGCAGCCTAGTTTCATTTATGGAGAATTTGATGAAAATTTTTTCCCCCATTTTTTTTTTTTTTTTTGAGACAGAGTCTCACTTTGTTGCCCAGGCTAAAGTGAGAGCCGTGGTGTCAGCCTCACTCACAGCAACCTCAAATTCCTGGGCTCACGCAATCCTATTGCCTTAGCCTCCCAAGTAGCTGGGACTACAGGCATGCACCACCATGCCCGGCTAATTTTTTCTATATATATTAGTTGGCCAATTAATTTCTTTCTATTTATAGTTGAGATGTGGTCTCGCTCTTGTTCAGGCTGTCTTCAAACTCCTGACCTTGAGCAATCTGCCCACCTTGGCCTCCCAGAGTGCTAGGATTACAGGCGTGAGCCACCGTACCTGGCCTTTTCCCCCATTTTGTTAGGAGGGAAAAACAGTTGCATTTTTCACAAATACAGATAAATATACACTATCATTTTTAGGAGTTACTTTCTTCATGATAATTTCAGATAATACTTGAGACTCTTATAAATCTTTTAGTAGCAGCCTGGTTGGGTTTGCTGCTAAGTAGTAGATGAAGTCTTTTTTTGTCCTATCTCGAATAATACTTAAGCATGTCATGTCCCATACCATCTCAGGTTTTATTTAAACTTCAACTTATCTTGAGTTTAATGTAAACACAGCAACATTTCTCCCTGTTTTATCTGAGCTTGGGACTAGCAATACTGAATGGTCTGTTTTGATCCTTTTACTATAAAAATATTCACTCATGAAATTTAACATTATTCTAAAATGTTTGTAATATTACCTACAGGGTGACAATATCCGCCTTAATCAGCATTTCAGTATCACAGCACAGCTTTTGGTGCTCTACTATATACTGTCCTATGAGGAAGCTCTCCTAGCAAACACGAAGACTTTAGGTAGGTTGTGTATAGGGGAATGGTTCTAGGGATAGTTCTTTTTTATTTGCTTGTATTTTGTTACTTTCTAAGCTGTTATATTGTAAAATAAGGCCAATATTCTAACAAACTTGAGTATCATTTTATAATCTTTGCAATATAGGCATTGTGTATGTCATACATAAATCATGCATGTGTGGACACATAACCCCTTATGTCTCAATCCTCCTTTTTTTTTTTTGTTTTGAGACAGTGTCTCACTTTTGTTGCCCAGGCTAGAGTGAGTGCTGTGGCATCAGCCTAGCTCACAGCAACCTCAATCTCCTGGGCTCAAGCAATCCTCCTACTCAGCCTCCTGAGTGGCTGGGACTACAGGCATGCGCCACCATGCCTGGCTAATTTTTCTATATATATTAGTTAGCCAATTAATTTCTTTCTATTTATAGTAGAGATAGGGTCTCGCTCTTGCTCAGGCTGGTTTTGAACTCCTGACCTCGAGCAATCCGCCCGCCTTGGCCTCCTACAGTGTTAGGATTACAGGCGTGAGCCATGGCACCCAGCCTCAGTCCTCCTTTTAACAGGCTAAATCAATAGATAACTGAATTACCTGTATTATAACTATTTTATTGACCTTACTCACTAAATATAAATTATGAGATAAACCTGAAGGAGCTGTAGCTGAAATTTTTTTGCTTGATTTCAGGCTGGAGTGCAGTGGTGCAATCATAGCTCACTGTAACCTCAAACTCCTGGCATGATCCTCCCGCCTCAGTCTCCTGAGTAGCTGGAACCACAGGTGCATGCCACTTTGCCCAGCTAAAATGCAGAAACTTTTAAGCAAATGTTGGCAGATGTTATTACTTGATGGTTTGAAGTCTCAGAACTGTAAAACCTAGAGTTAAATCAAGTTTTGACATAAAAGGGGTCCAATAGTTACATGACCATATTGGAGAGTAACAGTTTAATAATTTTAAACTTATTTCATTACCTATGGGATTATTCACGTATCTTTATGTTAGACAGCTGTTTTTAAAATAAAAACATTTATTAATAGTGTTTACTGGAGAAAATTTAGGAAATAAGAACAATATAAAGAACAAAGCATAAACTACCCATAATTCTACTGCCCAGAGATAGTCACCACTAGGAGTTTGCTAGAAAACCCTTCAGTCTGTGCATATATGATAGCTTTCACAAAATTGAAATCATGATATATATTTTTAGTCTGCTTTTTCTATTTAATATATTTTAAACATTTTCCTGTTATAGTAATTTTTTTCTAAAACATCTTTAGTAGCTGCATAATGTTTCATCAGAAATCTATACCATTGTTTAACAAATTCCTTATTATTGGACATTTATATTATTCCCAAACTTTGCCATTATAAATAGTGTAGGAATGAATATTCATAGAGCTAACTCTGTATACAATCATGATTATTTCTTTCCTTAAGACAGATTCCTAGATGTAGAACTACTAAGTTAAAGATTGTGAAAAATTATAAGATTTAAAAAATAAATTGCCATATTGCTTTCCTGGCCTCAAGTGATTGTCCCACCTCAGCTTCCCAAAGTAATTTATTCTAAAAATTTAAGTATGCCTGTAATTAATTTTGGTATAAAGTATGGGGTACAGATCCAATTTTATTTTTTTAATGATTAGTTATCTGTAAATATTACATACTTGTCATTTTCCTATTGCTTTGGAGGATTGCTTTTGTGTATATGAATATTTTATTATAAACCAGGCTGAACACACTGGCTCATGTCTATAATCTCACACTTTGGCAGGCCAGGGTAGGAGGATTGTTTGAGGCCAGGAGTTTGAGGCTAGCCTGGGCAACATAGCAAGACCCTATCTCTACAAAAAGTAAAAAGGGAAATTAGCTGAGTATGGTGGCCTGTGCTTGTAGTCCTAGCTACTCTGGTGGCTGAGGTAGGAGGATTGCTTGAGCCCAGGACTTTGAGTTTACAATGAGCTATGATCGTGACACTACACTCCAGCTTGGGTGACAGAGGGAGACTCTGTCTCTTAAAAAAAACAAAACATTTTATTATAAATCTGTGTCTGTTTCTGGATTTTCTTTTTTATGTTTGACATTTCCTGCACCTTTTACCAATACTGTTCTTATTCAGAATTTCTGGTACTCTTACATATTTAATCTTCCACATGATCTTTATAATAATTTTATCTAGTTCCACAAAAGAAAATTATATTGGAATGTTGACAAAAATTATGTTAAGCTTATAGATTAATTTTTTTTTTTTGAGACAGGGTCTCACTTGTTGCCTGGGGCTAGTGTACAGTGGCATGGTCATAGCTCACTGTAACCTCAGACTCCTTCCTGGGCTCAAGTGGTCCTCCTGTCTCACCCTCCCAAGTTGCTAGGACTACAGGCAAGCACCATTGTGCTTGGCTAATTTTTAAATTTTTTCGTAGTGATGAGGTCTTGCTATTGCTCAGGCTGGTCTTGAACTCCTGGCCTCAAGTGACCTTCCTGCTTTGGCCTCCCAAAGTGCTGGGATTATAGGCTGGGCTGCTGTGACTGGCCTTGTAGATGAATTTGGAGAGAATTTACATCTTTGCAGTATTAAGTCTTCCTATCTAGGAATATGATATAATTTTTGCTTTTCAGTTAAATTGTGAATGTTTTTATTAAAAAGTAGACAACAGATGTTAGTGAGGACACAGAGAAAAGGGAACTCTTATACACTGTTGGTGGGAATTCAAATTGCTACAACCTCTATGGAAAAAAAGTATGGGGATTTCTCTAAGAGATAAAAATAGACCTTCCATTGGATCCAGCAATCTTAGTACTTCATATCTACACAAAGAAAAAAAATTATTACATAAAAAAGACACATGGCAGTACTGTTCACAATAGTAAGGTCATGGAATCAACCTAAATGTCCATTAGTGAAGGATTGGATAAAGAAAATGTGTATGTGTATGTATACCATGGAACACTACTCAGCCATAAAAAGAATTAAATATGTCTTTTGTAGCAACATGGATGGAACCAGAGGCCATATCCTGAGTGAAATAACTCAGAAACAGAAAGTCAAATACCACATGTTCTCACTTATAAGTGGGAGCTAAAGAATGGGTTCATGTGGACATACAAAGTGGAATAATAGACATTGGAAACTCCAAGAGGTGGAGGGGTGAGGGGTGAGAAAGTACCTCTTGGGTACAGTGCACGCTATTTGGGTGATGGGTACACTAAAAGCCAAGACTTCACCACTACAATATTTCCATGTAATAGACAATTACTTGTTCCCCCTAAATTTATTAAAAAAATAATTTTAAGCATTTTACATTTTAACTAAAATATAAGCTTCCTAAAGGCTAATTTTTGTCCTTTTTCACTACTATATCTCTGGCATCTAGACTATTAACTTGGTACATTATAAACACTTTTTGAATATTTATTGACTCATGACTGAATTTATTTCAGTTTTTTTTATGTCTGTTAATAAAATTTTGTAGTTTATATAAGTTCTGTATAATTTTCTCCTAACAAGTTATTACTGGTTACAGAAAAGGCATTGGTATTTAGTTTGCATTAGCCAAGCTCTGAATTTCCTTTTTTGTTAGGGTATCATTGTTTAAACATTTTTTTTACTCCTCTAGTAAACAATTTTGGCAGTTACTGAGATAATTTATTTGGTCTATTTACATAATTCATTATATAATTAATGTTTTTATATTCCAGGAACAGACTGTACTTTCTCTTGGTATATTATTCTTTTAGTATGGCAGTAGATTTGATTTGCTTGTTTTTTTTTTTTTTTTTTTTTTGAGACAGAGTCTTGCTTTGTTGCCTAGGCTAGAGTGAGTGCCGTGGCGTCAGCCTAGCTCACAGCAACCTCAAACTCCTGGGCTCAAGCGATCCTTCTGTCTCAGCCTCCAAGTAGCTGGACTACAGCACGTGCCACAATGCCCGGCTAATTTTTTCTATATATATTAGTTGGCCAATTAGTTTCTTTCTATTTATAGTAGAGACGAGGTCTCGCTCTTGCTCAGGCTGGTTTCGAACTCCCGACCTCGAGCAATCCGCCCGCCTCAGCCTCCCAGAGAGCTAGGATTACAGGCGTGAGCCACCGCGTCCGGCTTGCTTGTTTTTTTATTAAGATTTTTTTCATCTGTGTTAAAGCAAGTGAAATTGACCCTTTTTTCCTTTTCTTTTTTTTTTTCCTTTAAGGCTGTAGTATCAGGTTTATACTAATATCATAAATGAATGGGAAATTTTCCATGTTTTTAAGGATTAAAAGATCAACCCCCCCCAAAAAAAACGGGGTGATATAAATAGTATTCAAAACACTTCTACAGTTTTGCTGAGGATGAAGTTAAATGTTAGCTTTCAATCTTTGATTTTTAGAAATTTAGAAAGTGATGGCTTTTATTTATAAGACCAATGATCTTCCTATAGGCCTTTTGTAATTATTATTTAGTCTTTTACTGAAGGATTAAGAATATCCTTGATGTTTTATTTCACAGAGATGTTAAAGAGAAACACTTGCATTAGGTGGGGTTTCATGGGCTGCTAATTCTTTGATAGTATCATTAAAATGTATTCAGGATTTGTCTTCAATGTCGTAAGTCCAGAAACTTAAATATTCAGACTTTACCCTTAGGTGATCTTGGGGAATCTAGATCTTAAAAATACTAGTTAACATTTGAGTGCTTGTTATGTGTTAGACACTACTAAAGTACTTTACAGATGTTAACTCATGAAAACCCTCACAAGATTTCTGTGAGATAGATTACTGTTATCTTTAGTTTGCTGGGGAGGACCCCCAGGCACAGGATAGTAGTGAGTGTTAGACCCAGGGACTGTCATTGGAACCTATACCTATTGTTTTAACTGCTTTCTGATGTGTATTTACTCAGTTCATAAAAGATTGATATGGAAAACTAGGATGCTAATTTATTAATTTAAAAGGGGGGTTATATCTAATCAAAAGGTATGTGGCCTACATAGATAGTGATTCTCAGCCTTTATTCTAACACTTGCACTTATATAATTCTTCTTGTCCTTAATCAAAATATTAATATATTTTTGAGCTTTAGTGTTTGTGGTTTGAAAAGAAAAAGTATATTGAATCTGCTTTTTTAACCTATAAACACTCTGAGATTCTCATATACTTCTGTGATATACAAGCAGAATACCTCAGAATGAGATTAGGGTATCAGGCATATATTATAGAATATGGTAGAGACGAGACAGAGAAAGATAGTGCTGATTGACAAGGACCTTTATTCTGTGTGATCTAGGAATAAGAGGACTATGACTTCAGGGTGAAGGATTAATTAAAGAGGTGAGAAATTAGAGACAGGAAAGTGGGCCCTAGAAGATATTTAAACAGAGAATGAGTAGGTACTGATTTAGGACAGCAACAAAAGAACAGAAATTAAGATAGACTTGTTAGGAAAAAAAGATGGACGTGGCTGGCTGAAGGCAGGAGTTATGAGAGAAGGAAGACAAATTCTTACTGCCTAACTTCCTTTAAAAAGAGTCACCACTATTATATATAATATGATTAAATTAATAAGTTACATGGTAGTCATGAAGCTCTAAGCCATGTGTTCATGACTGCATTTGATCTTCCTAACTAGATTTGGGAAAGTTTTAACTCATTTATTGATTGTTTTGGTGTAGGACACTTCTGCACATAGCTTCTCTCATGTATTTTGTGATTTTTCTCCTTATTAGTTTTAATTTCAGGGCATTTTCAAGATCTTGCCCTTAGATATATTCTTGCTCTTCTTGTGTAGCCACTATTTTGGTAGTAATTCTTCATTCTTTATGTGCTATATTCATAGATAAAGTGAATTAAAAATAACTTGATGTTGTTTTTGTTCCCATTTGGGTTGAAGGTTAAGATTTCTGTTGTTTCTGACTTTTTATACTTTTTATCTTTGACTGACAGCTGCCATGCAAAGAAAGCCCAAATCATATTCATCTTCTTTAATGGATCAGATTCCTATCAAATTCCTTATTCGACAGGCTCAAGGGCTGCAACAGGAGTTGGGAGGTATTTGTTTTATTCCTTTTTACTGCCAAAAACTTAATTGTTAGAAAATCTTACTGTTTATAATCTTATAAAGTGAATAGGTGCTGAATATTTTTTTTGAGAAGGAAATCTCACTCTGCCATCTCCCAAGTAGCTGGGACTACAGGTACATTCCACCACACCCAGCTAACTTTTATATATATATTTTTTTCTTTTGTGGAAATGAAGTCTCAATATGTTGCCCAGGCTGATCTCGAACTCCTGGCCTCAAGCGATCCTCCTGCCCTGGCCTGCTAAAGTGCTGGAAGTATAGTCATTAACTACCCTGCCCTCAGTGTTAAAAATTCAAATAATTCTATAGTGAAATTCCTCTTTGCCTTCCTCGCTAATGTGTTATTTACTTACTGCAAACCACTCGTCACCCCAAAAACCCCAGCTGTTTTCAGTTTTGTGTTATTTTCATTTTAATTGCAGATATTCAATTAATTTTGACCTACAGAAATAGCAATTTCACATGGTTGAACCTATTAGATATACACACAAGTAAAGAAAACAATTTTTTAAAAAACTATGAATAGTGTTATACCCTGCCTCTTCTGAGACTTGCTATTTTTTCTTGCAGACTTGAACATCTTTTCATATCAGTACATGTTGGTCTACCTTATTGGTTTTTATTTATTTTTTGAGACGGAGTCTCGCCCTGTCCCCCAGGCTGGAGTGTAGTGGCGTGATCACAGCTCACTGCAACCTCAAACTCCCGGGCTCAAGCGATCCTCCTGGCTCAGCTTCCCGAGTAGCTAGGACTACAGGTGTGTGCTACCACGCCCGGCTAATTTTTTCATTTTTTGTTGAGATGGGGTCTTGCTGTGTTGCACAGGTTGGTCTCAAACTCCTGGCCTCAAGTGATCCTCTTGGCCTCCCATAGTGCTGGGATTACAGGTGTGAGCCACTGCATCTAGCCCTTTATTGTTTTTAAATATTGTATAATATGGATATATTGCAATATTTTTACTATAAATACTGTCAAATAGGAATACAGTAGTATTTTTAAAATTTAGATTTTTTTTAATTAAATACTAAAATGTTTGAATGTGGGTGTTTCTCTTTCCTTGAAGTTGGAATTTTTTTTTTCCCTTTCTTTGCTATGGTTGGATTCAAGGGAAAACATGAGCTTTCATTAGTCATCGTTAACCAGATGTCTGTGTTTATTTGCTTGTTTCTTTGCATACTTTACTTTCAAAGAAATAATGTTATATTTAGTAGCATTTTCCAATTAACATGATTTTTTGAAAAGAGTGTGAAATGTATATTAATTTGTACTTTGTAAACAGTCTTTTTTGTGAGTATCAGGTATAGTTTTAACTGTACATAATGTTCTTGTGTGCATTTAAAGATTTAAGGTTTAAAATAACACCACTTTTGGTTGTTATAATGTGTTTTCAAACATAGTAACATCAGTTTTAAGCTGCTTCTGTAAGAAAGGAAGCAGATATTATCCCCACTGGGACTAAGCATTGGTATGATTTGATCTAAGTTGCATAATAAGGGATTGATTGGATCTAAAAAGTTTTGATTCCTACTACTGATGATGATGATGATGATGATGATGATGATGATGGTGTAGTAGCAGCAATATTTATTAGGTCAAGTAATTAGCATAGTGGTACTTCATATAACTAAATAGGTATTTTAATGGTGTCATCATTGATTTTTCTCATTATTAATATTACATATAATAGTCATAAGTAGTCAAACTGTGCCATAGGCAAACTGTTAGAAACAAGGCTTTGATTTGGTAAAAGGACATTTTTCCATTTCTTTTTATCTTCCTTTGTCCTCTCAAATGAAGACAAATGCATACTATTGTGGGTATCATCAGTACTGCTTCCCTTGGCTGACATACTTAGCTATGTGACTTTGGGATAGTTAATACCCGTCTTTCAGCCTTTTTGGTTCCTTATAGTAGAGTGAGGACATTATTGTTCACTTTGTAGGAATTTTAGGGTGAAATGAGCAAATGTATATAAACAACCTGATACTTTTTAGATACTCAAAGTGAGGAACTTTAATTTTACCCATCTACAGCAATGATTCTCACTGGGGTTGGAGGAAAGGGCATGTTCTCTACAAAAGCCTGTCAGTATCTCTGAGTGGGGTTTTTTCAAACCATAAATAATTTTTCTCAAATGGATATTATTTCCACCTCTTTTTCTTTCATCTCCCCTCAAACTATTGAACCACTGCTTTGTCAAACAATTTTTCCTGATAGGAAACTGTTATGTTGGGTTGGGATAGAAGAAAGCTTGAGAACTTTTGATATAAGTAGTGGTTCCCAGCTCAATGTGTATCAGATTACATGGGGATCTTTATTTAAGTAGACTCCCTGGCTCAAACTACTGTATAGAAATTCTTGCACTGTGGTGTGCATGCACAAGAACTACAAATTCCCAGGGCTCCATTCTAGAGCTTCTGATACAGTCATCTGGGATGGCAACCATTATTCTGCACATGCGACAAGCTTCCCATGTTTCTGATGTCAATGGCACTGTGATCATACTTTGAAAAACACTGATTTCGGGCATAACCTTTCCTTGTGGGCTGTTGGCTTGCTAAAAATGAGATGGGTAGGGAAGCTTCTGGTGTTTGAAAATGGATAATCCAATTCATTTCCTGTAAATTTTCAAGGATTGCATTCAGCTTTACTACGTCTCCTTGCAACTAACTACCCACATTTGTGTATTGTGGATGACTGGATCTGTGAGGAAGAAATCACAGGGACTGATGCCCTGTTAAGGCGAATGCTCCTGACGAATAATGCCAAAAACCACTCTCCTAAACAACTCCAAGAAGGTATAGTATTTTGATACTCCTTTGACCCCTTTTGTAGTATAAGGAGATGCTAGTCTAACTGAAATCTTACAATCATGCAGAATTTTCCTGAGGATATAACAGTGTTTTGGTGAGTATATTTTAAGTAATTCTGTTTGAGTTTAAGGAGCTTTAACCATTTCTTTCTGACATGCTTGTATCTTTTCTCATATAGGTGCTATGTTATATCACTAAAAAAGGTGGTGTGGTTTTAGGAAGGTCCTAAACTGGTTAGAAATAGGGCAGTGGAATAGGGCAATGTACTTGTTGTTAATGGTTAAATGTTCTAGGTTAGCACTGTTAAATAGAAATATATTAATTAATAATGCAAGCCACATGTATATAGTTTCTAGTAGTTACATTAAAAAACTAAAAAGAAGCAGGCAATATTAACTTTAATAATCATTTTATTTAACCAAATGTATTCAATATTATCATGAAATAAATGTAAAAACTATTAATATTTTACTCTCTGTGCCCCCCCCCCAAGTTTTTGCAATTTGTTGTGTAATTTACACTTACAGCACATCTCAATTTGGATTAGTTACATTTCAGATGCTTAATGGCCAGATGTGGTTAGTGCCTACTTTATTGGAAAACACAGTTAGATATTTTTTAGTAACTACAGCAATCTGCTGGGTGCTTACATCCTATAAAGGGGGCACTTGGAGGAAAGTGTAAAGAAATTTGAACTTTTCGAATGAATGTTAGAGACTAAAAGCAATACTTTGATATATTTTCCTCTTGTGTTTTTTTTAAAAAGTCTAAATCACTAAGAAAATGAGATTAGTCTTTGGGTCACTAATGTGATTTTTTTCTTTTTTTTAAAATGATCTCTTCATTTTTAATTTCTTAAAAAGCATGTTCACAGCACAGTCCAAGAATGCCACACAATAATGGTTTGCTGCTCTTTGTCAGAGTATGTCAGAGAACAAAAAACAAAAAAGTGGTTAATGGTTTTAAAAATTAGCTCTCTGAAATTTCCATAAAGCCAATAATCACCATTTAAATCTTTATTTCAGAGTAGTAAACATTTCAAAAATGTAGTATCTACCCAAAATCATACTTCTCTGAAATGTAATTAAAAGCTATATAATAAAACAAAAGTAAATATTTTTCTAGAAATAAATTATTTTGCATTTTGAAATAATGTTAAAAGGGAAGCTTTCCAATATAAAAGATGTCTAGATTTTTACTTTCTGTTACCACATAGAAGGTTTGGATTTTTAGTGGTTCCAATCTGACTTCAGTAATAGGAGGAGTGATTACATTATGGTTAATGAACTTCAATCTTAACAAAGCCAATATACTTTTCCAGTACAGTACTTTTTTAAAGAAGTGTTATACAACTAATGTGATTTTAAAAATGAGATATTTCTTCTTTGTGAAACAACTGCACTTCCTTGAATTTTTCTTAAGGCCTTTATTTTAAGTTTATTTAAAACTATAGCTAGGATCGAAAGTTTTACTTTTTAGCAACATTGTTTTCTTGATTTGTTTGGCCTATAGTCTTAGAGAGCGGTATTACTTCCTGCCTGGTAAACTTTACAGAACTTAGATTATGACTGCTTAATTTTCTTTTTAGCATTTTCAGCTGTTCCAGTAAGTCACACACAAGTGATGCAGATTATAGAACACTTGACTCTACTGTCAGCCAGTGAGCTGATACCATATGCAGATGTATTAATATCCAATATGAGCCAGCTGTTGAATTCAGGGGTTCCACGGAGAATTCTTCAAACAGTCAATAAACTATGGATGGTTCTTAATACTGTGATGCCTAGAAGGTAAATTCAGTGTATTGTTATACATAATAGATAAATGTATAGCAGTGATAAGATAAAATAACCTAAATTTAATTATTGAAAAAAATTTTCGCAAGACAACTTATGTCAGTATTTGTTGAGTATGTGACAATATAATTCTTTTCTGAAGACTACTGATTAGAGTTTTTATAACTTTAAGGAGAAGAAACTTTGTCTTAAGAAATAGAGAGAAACCATGATGTATTTCTAACTTGAGAAAGTTCTTTAAAAGTGGGTTCTGAGCCAGGTGTGGTGGCTCATGCCTGTAATCCCAGCACTTTGGGAAACCTAGGCAGGAGGATTGCTTGAGGCCAGGAGTTCAAGACCAGCCTGGACAACATAGCAAGACCTCACCTCTACAAAAAAGTTAAAAAATTAGCCTGGCATGATGGCATGCACCTGTAGTCCCAGATACTTGGAAGGCTGAGGCAGGAGATCACTTGAGTCTAGGAATTTGAGGTTGCAGTAAACTATGATCACACCATTGCACTTTAGCTTGGCAACAGAGTGAGACCCTGTCTGGAAAAAAAAAAAGATTCTCATGTATAGTTATTTATGGCTAATTGTGATTTAGATCACTATCATGTTTTGTGTCATTGCAGTGGTTCCAAATTTTGCTGCATATTAAGATTACCTGGAAAGCTATTAAAACTCTTGATCTCCAGGTTGTAACCCATATCAATTAAATCAGATATCTGTGGGTGGGAGTCAGGGATCAATACTTTTTAAAAAATTCCCCAGATGATTCCAAGATACAGCAAAATTTAGAGGACACTGGCTTACTTAGTTTGTCTTTAGTCAATGGGTCTGCACTGTTCATAGATTGCATCAGTAACACCTGGCTAGCTCTAGAAAACAGAATACTGGAGATGTGACTTAGTTGAGATTTTGATTCAGTAGGTCTGGGTTGGGGTCTGGGAATATATATACTTTTGAAATTTAATTTTTACTTATGTAAAATTAATAAATGCACATAACTTAAGAAGCTAACTAGTATATAAGGGTTGCCTCACATCTTTCTATTTTAAACTCTAGTTTCCCAGAGACAACTGTTATCAGCTCTTTTGTCTTTTTATTTTGGCATTTATATCCTCCCAATATATACCAATAATATACTTATAATAACTGTGATTTCCTGATTTTCCAATTTAGAAATTAACTATTGACTTGCTACTATACAAGATGAAGGTTTAGCCCTCTACCTGCTTTTTCTACTGTGAGTCTCACTTCCTCCAATACACATTTCCCCTCCCCTTATTTCTCCCTATACAGGTATATCAACATTTTTAGTTAAAGCAGTATTTAGTGTACATATTGTTACGAATACAGCAGTGATATTTATAGTTGAGCTTTGTGATAGCCTTTGGTTATCAATTGCTTTCTTATACAAGTGCCCACCCTCACACTCAACACATTCCCTGAGTTAGTAATACTTGCCTTTTTTCTGTTTGCTGGGGTTTTTTGTTTTGGTATCAGCAACTAATAACTAATATCCCCACACTTCATTATTGAGGGGAAATTTTACTTTACAGTTATTCATAACACATCAGGTAACATATCAGTAACAATTTTTTTTAGAGACATTCTTTTCAGAGCTTTCCATCTTCATGTTCCCATCTGGGGCATACACAGTTGCCATACTAGAATTGCTGTTGTCTCTCTTTGTTGGTTTCTATGTTTTTCATTTTCTTGGTTTATGGCTTCATTTTAGTGAGTGGAGCATTCCCTAAGTTGCTTCCTGAGAAAGGGAATGTGGGAAACTTAATTTTTTTGTGACTTTGCGTGAGTGAAAGGGTTTATTCTTCTCACATGTGATTGATATATTTAGCCTAGGTGTAGAGTTCTAGTTCATTTTTCTCTCAGATATTTGAAGGCATTGTTCTTCTGAATTAGAATTTCCATTATTGCTGTTAATAATCTGATGTTATACCAATTTCCAACTCTTTGTATGTGACCATTGTTTTTTCTCTCTTAAAAGATTTTAGGCTTTTTTTTTTTTAACTCTTCTGGAATTTCATGATTTTGTATTTTGAAATCTTTTTCATTCATAGTGCTGGACACTTGGTTGGTCTTTTTTGTCTCTATAGTAATGCTTTCCTTTCTAAGGCATTTTCTTTCCTCAATAATTTCCCTCTGTTTTCTGAAATTTCTTGTAATTTGAATTTTGAAGCTCTTGGACTTATTATTTGATTTTCTCATTTTTTTCTCCTCTTTTTTTCAATGTGTCTTTTTGGATATTTCCTTAATATTATCTTCTGACCTCTCCTTTAAAGTTTTAAATTTGTTATGTTCTTAATTACTAACAGCTTTTTCTTAATATTTTTAAATGCCTTGTTCTTGTTTCATGTATGAAATATTCTTTAAGGATATTAATAGCTTTTTAAAAAAATTTCTTCTGATCTCTACATTTTGTTTCTTTGGAGTTCCTTTATTTCTGTTTGTATATTTTATTCTTTTTCAAAGTGAAAGCTTTCTTCAAATGTCTGATGATGCTTGTTTGTCCACTCTTACTTAAGAGGGGGAAGTTCTGTGTGGGAGGTGGGGCTGGGGACTCCTGAACTTCACTGTAAGAGATCAAGTGCCCTCCCCATTGGAATATCCCTCAGTGATTATGATGTTAAGTCCGATTAGTAACCACTTTGATAATCTATTAATGTCTAATCTCAAAGTGGCATCTCACATCCAGACTCTATGATGGTTAATATAGAATAATGACATATTTATAGGGCCAGATACAGCTTCAGAGTGTTTTGGTAAGTATTATTTTATAGTTATTATTCCTATTTTACAGATAAGGAAACAGAGCCTCAGTGACTCATATAGCAAGTATGGTATACTGAGGTTTTTTATTTGTTTAATTTTTTAATATTTTCTTTCTTTACTTTGTTTTTTCTTTTTTCTTTTTCCTTTTTCAGCGTGACTTTCCAAGTCATAACTGAGGTTTTAATTCAAGTTTTGTTTTACATGCCATGATTATTCCTCTATAACTATGAAAATTTTGAGACTACTGTGTGTTTACTATTTTATCTTTGTTTTAGAGATATGTCTCTAAAGGTTAAATGTCTATAGTTTTTAATTTTTCAAAGTTCATTCACACCTGTTTTCTTTTTCCTAAATATAACTTTCTAAGGTAGAAAGTATTGGATGGCTACAGATTTCAATTATTATATAGCTATTTGAACATGTGATTATTTTGTAATCAGGTTGTGGGTAATGACGGTTAATGCACTTCAACCTTCAATAAAGTTTGTACGACAACAAAAGTATACTCAGAATGACCTGATGATAGATCCTCTCATTGTCTTAAGATGTGATCAAAGGGTTCACAGGTAAGTGTCACTATAGTTTCATTTTTATTGTAGAGTTATACTTTGGAGAGTAAAAAGAAATTGACAAAGTTCAATTTAAAATTATATTTTAGTGCTCTTGCAGATAACTAGGTAGTATGAACTGTGCAGTTTTTTGATCTTTTTTAGTTGTATTTATTCATGAAATACATATCCAATTTAATATGTAATTAATAAAACCTAGCCTTAGAGAAAGGTCATTGTTGGTTTTGGTAACCATCAGTGGTGGCTTTTCTCTCTCACAGTCAAGATCAGTAATGAATTACACTATTTCTGCTTGCATGTTGAAAAAGGCTTTTAAAAAACTGGTTCATTGTGAATCATTACATGTATCAAAACTGTGACCTTTTTGGCATGTTCACTTGTGATATTAGCTTCATTGATTCCGCATTTGGCTTTAATTCCTTGCCAGTTGCTGAACTTAAGCAATTGCTTTGACATGGCTTCCACTCAAAAGGCAGAATTTAATTAATTCATATTATTAACATTTGAATTTCTAGTTGTTACGATGAGTAATATCAAAGGTATATAAGTTGTGGTATAGTGGTTATCAGCTGCCTGGGGAAATGAGACAGATATATGAAAAGTGAAATAATATGGTATGCAGATGAATGATGTATAAATGCATGATGTTAAAAGTTCAGGAAAGATGTTGAAGAGATGAGACCTGAGTACTATTTTAAAGAATGGGGATAGGGCTGGTCTGAGTGCAGTGGTGTTTACAACTAATTGTTCACAACCAGTGACAGATTTCCTTTGTTCCTTCTTCATTCCCTCTACTTCAATTGACTAGCCTTAAAAATACAAAAAGAAGAAGAAAACAGTTTAGGTAAACAAATAGTATTATGGTGGGGGTTAGGAAGTCAAAGAAGGTAATTTGAGATAAAGAATACTGTGAGCACAACTATAGAAGCAAGAGTGAAAATGCTTGGAGAAGAGGGTTAATTTTTGAGTAGAGCACATTTTACAATTGGAAAGTATATTGGGGTCAGACCATGGATGGCCTTGAATGTTAGGCTAACAAGGTTGTTTAGGTTGTAACTTAGGAAAAGAAACTTTGTACTACATGGGTTAGAGGGAAGAGAAACTTTAGTAAGGAAGACTAAATGGTATATACTATGTTTAAACTCATCTGTCATCAGCCATGGGGATGACGTTCTTAAAGTGACAAAGCCTGCAAAATCAGCCCAATACAGTTTGGTGAAATCAAGGTCTCATAGGAAATAGAAATCAGAAGAATAAACAGTATAAATAACAGTGAATATCTAATAAAAGGAAAAACCACAGTAAATAACACTTCTAGAAAAGAGCTGTTTCTAAAACAAATGATTTATCAGTGTTAAAAATCCACTTAAATAGGTTACCTTTCACCTGAATCACCTCAGGTGATTCAGTTGTTCAGAAAGATGTTAACTCACACTATCAAAATGTATGTACTGTTTTTGTACTTGGATTTTTCACTTATGAACCTTTTATCATGTTAATAGATATTCTTATATTAATTGGCTACTTAGTATTCCATTTTATAGATATGGTATGCCTGCCCCAATCCTCTACTGTTGGATGTTTTATTTCTAATTTTTGCTGTTATCAGTAGTGCTGTGGTGACTATTCTATGTGCATTTTACCATTCTGAGTATTTCCTTAGGACAGATTGCTAAAAATGGAATGATTGGGGCAAAAGTAACATGCTCATTTTTAAGACCTTTTATTCAGGCCGGGCGTGGTGGCTCACGCCTGTAATCCTAGCACTCTGGGAGGCCGAGGCGGGCGGATTGCTCAAGGTCAGGAGTTCGAAACCACCCTGAGCAAGAGCGAGACCCCGTCTCTACTATAAAATAGAAACAAATTAATTGGCCAACTAATATATATAGAAAAAATTAGCCGGGCATGGTGGCGCATGCCTGTAGTCCTAGCTACTTGGGAGGCTGAGGCAGGAGGATTGCTTGAGCCCAGGAGTTTGAGGTTGCTGTGAGCTAGGCTGACGCCATGGCACTCACTCTAGCCTGGGCAACAAAGCGAGACTCTGTCTCAAAAAAAAAAAAAAAAAAAGACCTTTTATTCATATTTTCATTCTGCCATTCAGAAAGGTTGGATCACTTTATATTCCATAGCAGTATTTGTTATTGTATACTTTCCTGTGCTATTTTATATAATATCCAAATTGGTAGATAAAAAGATTCCCATTTTAATTTCTTGTTAGATTGAACATTTTAATATATTTATTAGCTACTGGTATTTCTTCTTTATATTAATATTTTAGCCTATTTTTTTGGTCTTTTTATTAATTGAAAGAGCTCTTTATCTATAAAGCATATTAGCCCTTAGTACACATGCTACAGTTTTTTCCTCATTACTTTATTTAAAAATTTTTTTTTACCTCTCCTACCTACCTCATTGCTTTATCGATTAGCCTTTTAATTTTGTCCATTTTTTAAAATTTAATTTTTTTATAAAGTGATGGTTTAAAAAAACACACAATATAAAGATATACACAGATAAAAATATACACATATAAAAGATATGAAAGTATTTGCTTTGAATTAACCCAGTGGTGGTGGTAGGAAAGTGGATGGGGGTACCGTGTTTTACAAAAAATAAGACAGGGTCTTATATTTATTTTTCCTCAAGAAGACACCCTTGGGCTTATTTTCAGGGGATGTGTTATTTTCCCCTAATGCCTCAGCTTGCAGCACACACAGGATGGCCAGGACCTGATGGGGGAGCCAACCTAGTTGGTGGGGCTGCCAGCACCTTTCTGGTCACCTCTAGGATAGTAGCTGTCACAATGGGGCAGATCAGAAGGGCTGCTCGTCTTCTTTACCGCACTACGACAAAATGCATGGGTTGTGCAGATATGCTGCGTAGCCACGCCCATCACTAGGTCTTTTTTGGGGGTAGAGCATATATTGCCCAAATGCTTAGAAATCTTGCTAGGGCTTATTTTATGGGTAGGTCTTATTTTCAGGGAAACACGGTATATATAAAAAAATACTGGCTATGTGTAGACACCTGTTGAAGCTGGGTGTTGAGTTCTTGGGGGTTCATTATAATATTCCATCTTTTATGCATGTATGAAAATTTTCATAATATACATTAATAAATAAATGTTTCATAACATGCAAAAAGATTAACAAAAAGAAAAGGTGTATAGTGAAAAGTTTGGCTCTCATATATCTATCATTCTGACATTGCTAAAACAAAATTCCTCCTTGGCTTCTTTTGACCAATTCCGGTTCTTTTGCCAGAGGAAACTTTGTTATAATGGTGTGTATGTAGCTTTACTTTTCTATATACTTACAAATTGATTAAATAGAAATATTTACTTTTTTGTATTGTATGGTTTTACAAAAACATAAGTAGTAGTACATTGTCATTATTTTCTTCTTGTTTTAAAAAAACCTTACTGTTCTCAGTATGTTTTTCATATTAGTATGCATATTTCTACCTCATTTGTTTTAACTGCTGCATTGTATTCCATATATAGATTATCAGGCTTGTCTTCCAGAAACTGATTCAAAATGTCTGGGTTAGAGCTTGGGATTTAGATTTTTTAAACAAGCATTCTAGGTGATTTTTCAATTTTGGGAAACATTGCCATAGTTTATTTAACCATTGACATATTGCTGGACATTTAGGTTGTTTCCAATATTTCATTTATAAACACAATTATAATGTCTGTTAATGCACACTGGCTAGTTCTGTCCTGTGATAGAGACTGAGAAGTAGAATTTCTAAGGGTATTGCATTTAAAATTCTAGTGGTTACTAATTTGTCTTTTTTTCTTTTTTACATTTAACTCTTATGTCTATTTTTAATCTTATTTATATTTAATCTGTAACAATCTTTGAGGAATGAATAACTGTATACCTACCTATTTTATAGATGAAGAAACTGAGGTTCAGTAAGTAACTTCCCTAGGTTAAGTGGATGAACCACTCTTGGAATACAGAGTTGTTTTGATGTCTTGTTCCAAAGAAGGAATAGTAGTAAAAAGAATAAATACTCTGTTCTAGTTACCTTCGTCTTATCAATAATAGGATATGCCTTTTTGAGGACAGCTGCTTTATAGGCTCACATCTAAGAGATTTACTGGTAATGCCATTTTCTTCAAAAGATGCTTATCTTTTCTCTAGAGCTTACATTATACATATTTATTTTTAGCTGATAAGATGAAACAGATTATACTATTTATATAATCTTGAAAGATAGAGAAGAAGATATTAAACTTTTATTTTGAAACTATTATAGTGAGAAAAGTTGTTACTCTTATTATTATTCAGGTTTTTCTAATTATTTAAACTCAACTGATCATGTTCTGGCTAATTTATAAATTTTTATTCTTTCTCATATATTTTTCTTTCCTTCTTTCTTTGTTTAGATGCCCCCCGCTGATGGATATTACTCTACACATGTTGAATGGTTATCTTCTTGCATCGAAAGCCTACCTTAGTGCTCATCTAAAGGAAACAGCAGAGCAAGATAGGCCTTCCCAGAATAATACAATAGGTTTAGTTGGACAAACTGATGCTCCAGAAGTTACCAGAGAAGAATTGAAAAATGCATTGCTGGCTGCTCAGGTAAATTTTCCTAAAGTAAAATTTAGTCAAAAAGGGCAAGGGCTTTCCTACTCACATAATCAATTAAATTAGATGGCATATTATTCCCTCTGTGTACATTGGTGACATGTGGTGTATTCCTTCTATTGGAGAATCTATTATAATGATGTTACCTTTGCCCTATATCAGATGGACTATATTACTGAAATCAAGAATAATCTTCATGATATAAATTTAATAGCCATTTAAATAATATTTATATTTTAATAAAATATAAGACTTTACCTGTTTTGAAGTTATTAGGCTCATTCATTCAACAGATGATCTATTGAATGCCTGCTATGTGCCAAGTACTGTTCCAGGGACTGGGGATATAGTGATGAAGAAGACAAAATCCTTGGTTATATGTTTCTTAAGATCATATGATAGGGAAAAAAATCAAAGATGGAGAAAAATAGAAAAATAGAAAAACAAATACATATATAAGAAAATAGTGATAAATACTAATAACACAAGTAGTTCAACTTTATATTTAGTTAAGAAAAGTTTTATAACAAGTGAATCCTAGAATGTAGAATTTTACTGAAGCTTTACATAGTCATTTTTGAATAATGCAGGAGAGGTGAGATGATAAAATGTTCTGCAATTTGAGATCTTTAAAGCAGACATGTTTTCATAGGTTAAAATGTATTTTCTGAAATCTCATTGACCATAAGGGGAATTAGGAGTAATAATATAGGTTCACAATCCCTTATCTGTAATACAGAAATCCAAAAAGCTAGGAAAACTGACACATTTCTTTTGTAATATAATTGGCAGAAAGATGCCCTGATATGAACTCGTTTGGTGACAAAACTTGACCTGAATTGATATTCTTTATCCCATTTAATGTGAATATTAGTATGTTTTGCTACAGAAATATTAATATATTTGATTACAAGGTGCTACCCACTCTCTGCTAGTGGGGGTGGGTGTTACATAATATTACATTAAAAAAATCTGAGTTCTAAAATAAATCTGTCCTTGAGAGTTTCACAGAGATATAGATCATAATAGCTAACATAGATATAATGCTTACTATATTGTGGGTGCTAGTCTAAGTTGTTTAAATATTTTAACTCATTTAATTTTTACAGACAACCTATGAGGTATGGAGTATTATCTCCATGTTTACAGATTAGAAAAATGAGACTCAAAGAGGTTAAATGACTTACTCAAGGTTACATATTTAGTAAATGGCAGAGCTAGGATTCACTTACAGATATTCTGGCTCCAGAGTCTGTAAATAAGAACAAAACAAAACAATAACAACACCCACAAACCCTTCACCCTCAACATGGTAATTATAAAATAGGCTGGGGATGGGGAACCTTTTTGTGTTGGCAGGTTGCATTAATTTAGCTGTAATCAAGTGAGGCTGCATTCAAGAAATATCAATTAGATATACTTAAAACTGTATATTATTTTGTAATCTTCACTACTGTGTACTTAATAATTTCAAAAAATGAAAACTATTTGTTAATTTTAAAGTTAACTAACCTTTTAATGGCTTTGTTGTGTCTGCTTTTTGTTGGAAAGCGTTTGAACATTTGGTTGCAACAAGGAGGTCTGCAGTTTCAGTATCAGTCATTTGTGACCTTAAGAGCATCTTGATTTGGGTTAGGTAGGAGAATGTAGATTTGTAGCAATAAGTGATTGAAAAGCAAGAAAGCATTTTTTGGGCATGTTGCCGAAAGCATAGGTACTCTACTACACTTTTTAGTTTTTCAATTGGATCTTTCTTAGCATCAAACAATGACTTTAAAATGTCATCTACTGAGAGCTCAATCAATTCCATCCGTAGTTCTTTAGGTGTGTTGGTGATATCAACTAGGTGAGGCTGAAATGCTAATTTGGGTATGAGGTCATGATTCTCAAAGTCAGTGAACCTTTCATTATATTCTCTAATTAATAGGTCTATAACAGCTGTGTATTCTCCCAACCATTTGCATATATCTTCCTGCTCATCAGTGACCTCTACTAACTGGGGAAAATGTTCATACAATATTTCCTTTTGAAGAAGTAGTGTTTTGAAAAAAGAAACCTTTTTTTACATGCTTGGATTTTTTGCCACATTTCATATATAGATTTACTGTCCAAAAAAATATTCAAGTTGTTTTGATTTGACATGATATTACAGAGAAATACTGCATTCCTATAGAAATCTTCTTTCAATGATTCACATTGGTGATTCTGTTCTTCATAAAGTTTAACTGTCCTTGCAGAGAGAAAATTTTGGCTAACACATGTGACAATGATATAGCAAATCCACACAAATACCTTATGGTTCAATTTTAGCATGTTACGAAACTGATGATGCTGTGTTGTATTTGCATGAATATAGTTAATGATACTTGTAACTTGTTGCAAAGTGTCACTTAAAATAGTAGCTTTAGAACAGAGATTTTACTGATGTAAGATACAATGAAAAGAAATGAAGAATATCTGGATCTCTTAATGCTTTTAAAAATCTGTGCAGTAAGCCCTTCATGTTTTCCTGTCATGGAAGGTGTACCATCTGTATATACACTTACTAAATTTACCAAATTCAGTACAACTTCATGACATTTATCTTAAAAGTTGTTGAAGATATCCATTCCCTGTGTTCTGTTGGCAAGAGGGCCCAATGCAACTAACTCTTTGTAGCAAAAAAAATCTTCTGTTATGATTTGAATGAGGTGTAAAACTTGTGCTGAGTCAGTAGTATCAATTGATTCATCCAAAGCGATTGAATAATACATATTTTCCTTCTGAAGTATTGCATAAAGTTGTTCTGTTAAGTTTAAGGCTAATTCATGCTGCCGATCAATTTTGTTTCTTCTTGAAAAGGCTGTTGTTTGTACTTTGAAATGTTATTGGGGTCTGACCATCCTACAACTTTGACAATGAGTTCTTTTATAATTTCTACATTACTGAATGGCTTCCCTTTTTCTTCCAAGTATATAAGCTACTTCATAAGTCGTTTCAGTGGCATTATTTCCAGGTCTTCTTGCTGCTTGAAATAATTGTCTTTGCTTTTGTTTTTCATCCTTTAATTTCTGCAATACAATCTTTTGTGCCTCTTCCTCTAATTTAAAATATTTGTGGTCATTACCAGTATTATAATACTGATAAACATTGAGTTTCTTTAATGTTGATATCACAGTATCAGAACACAAGCAAATCGTCTTATCTTTAGCAGAAACAAGATAATACTCCAATTCGCAATCCTTATTAAAAAATATGTTTTCTTCCTTCAGCATCCCCTTGGTCTTCTTTGACATTATGGGCTGTTAAGCAAACAGAATTAAAAAATACTGTCAAGCTGTGCAACCATTCACAAATTCTACTTCACACAGAAACACAGTGCACTGTCGCCACAAGCTGGTAACAGACTGGCATACTGGACCCTCATAAACTCTCGCCAACCAGCGTCATTGCAGTAGTGGTGCCAGTCAGGGTGGGGAAGTTAGAAGTAAATCATGAGCATAGCAGCCTTCAATTTAGCCCTTATGGCTTACTAGTGTTCCAATTGTGTTGAGCACTCTAGGATTATTTCATTGAAACTTATTTTATTCTTTGATATTTAAGATATGTTCATGTTAAAAATAAAACGAACAAAAATGTATCAAAGGATTTTTTCTGTAAAGTTTGGACGTTCAGTCAAAAGGCTACACTTAAGGACCTAGAAGGCCACCCCTGAAGTAGGCCACCCTTACTTCATAATCATTTAGTTCTTAATCTTCCAGGCAATGGCTATCTTTCAGAGATGCATGTCATATATTCAGTTTCTTTTTATTTTTTTTTATTTTTATTTCTTTGTTTTTTGAGACAGAGTCTCACTTTGTTGCCCAGGCTAGAGTGAGTGCCGTGGCGGCAGCCTCGCTCACAGCAACCTCAAACTCCTGGACTGAAGCGATCCTCCTGCCTCAGCCTCCCGAGTAGCTGGGATTACGGGCATGCACCACCATGCCCGGCTAATTTTTTCTATATATATTAGTTGGCCAATTAATTTCTTTCTATTTATAGTAGAGACAGGGGTCTCGCTCTTGCTCAGGCTGGTTTCGAACTCCTGATCTTGAGTGATCTGCCCGCCTCAGCCTCCCAGAGTGCTAGGATTACAGGCATGAGCCACCATACCTGGCCCAGTTTCTTTTTAAACTCCTTCCTTCTAGATGAGAGTGATTATAGCTCTCCTTTAAACATATGGGCCTCAAGTATATCACCCCTCAAGCTACTGTTCTATGAATTGATACTCAAGCTTGTGGGTTGAGGAGCAGTGAGTTGTGTAGGTGGAATGGGTGGTAAGGTGGAATCTTCCCTTGTACAACCAGGACCTTAAACAGTCTGTCTTAAGGTTAAAAGAGCTTAAGGGAAAAGAGCTATGGGAAGTGATTTTTAGGCATTATTAACTGTTACCTTCAGAGAAATTAATTAGGTATCCAGGTGAGAAAAAGAGGGAAATACAGGTTAGGATCCTGGGAAAAGTGAGAGATTAGAGGAAGGAAAGGAGATTTTGGTAGTCATTTCTGCCTAGGGCCTGTTTTGGTTGTCACAGAATCAGAATAGCCTTCTAGGCCGGGCGCGGTGGCTCACGCCTGTAATCCTAGCTCTCTGGGAGGCCGAGGCGGGCGGATTGCTCGAGGTCAGGAGTTCAAAACCAGCCTGAGCAAGAGCGAGACCCCGTCTCTACTATAAATAGAAAGAAACTAATTGGCCAACTAATATATATAGAAAAAATTAGCCGGGCATGGTGGTGCATGCCTGTAGTCCCAGCTACTTGGGAGGCTGAGACAGAAGGATCGCTTGAGCCCAGGAGATTGAGGTTGCTGTGAGCTAGGCTGACGCCATGGCACTCACTCTAGCCTGAGCAACAAAGCGAGACTCTGTCTCAAAAAAAAAAAAAAAAAAAAAAAAAAAAAAAAGAATAGCCTTCTAGTAGATGTTCTTCAACTGAAGTCCATGGATCTGCCTTAGAGAAATGTGACCTGCCTGAAATTATGCAATATGTTTGTTTATATATGTTAATTTTTATGGGGAGAGGGTGTATAGTTTTCTTAGGATTCTTTAGGGGTTCATCACCCTAAAAAGTTGAGAATCATTGCTCTATAGATTGCTCACTTCTGCTCTTAGAAGTACCTCTTTGTGTATGTATGTTTTTTAAGAAACTGGTTGTTTTTTTATTTCTGTTCATGTGAAAACAAAATCAGATTTGGTTTTCAAATCAACTTCTCAGAAACTTTATATTCACTGTGTTTTATTTGCTTACAGGATAGTGCAGCTGTCCAGATTCTCTTAGAGATTTGCTTACCTACTGAAGAGGAGAAAGGAAACGGTATCAATCCAGACAGCTTGCTAAGAAATGTTCAAAGTGTTATTACCACCAGCACTCCAAATAAGGGGATGGAGGAAGGAGAAGACAATTTGCTCTGTAACCTTCGAGAAGTTCAGTGCCTTATCTGTTGTCTGTTGCACCAAATGTACATTGCAGATCCCAACATTGCTAAGCTTGTTCATTTTCAGGTCTGTTTCCAAAAAATGATGTTTTGTGGCTGACCTTTATTTTTCTTGGGGACTTCTAATACTATATTAATAGAGGTCATTTAAAAATTAGAGATAACACAAGTGATCCTGGTCTTTTGCAATATGGAGAAAAATCCAGATATTTGAAGTGTTTTTTTTTTCCAACCTAATAAAATATTCATATAATTCATTCCTATTCTAGTGCATCGGAAAAGTGAAGTGCCAGGATATATGTAGGGCACTGTAGCCTGAGCAACTTTTATAGAAAGGAAGTGAAACTTTTCATTTGTATTTTCTCTGTATTTGATTTTTTTCTAACTTTTACCCCCTTTCTTGTTGATTTAGGGTTATCCATGTGAACTTTTGCCTCTGACAGTTGCAGGTATTCCATCTATGCACATCTGTCTGGATTTCATACCTGAGCTTATTGCACAGCCAGAACTTGAAAAGCAGGTAATGAACATTTTGGAGCTTTAAGACAATTGATTTCTCTCTAGTCTTGCAAGTTATATAAAACATTTTATAATTTTTAATACTTAAAAATATTCTTGAGAAATGTGTAATATTTGGATTTTATATTACAGATATTTGCTATCCAGTTGCTTTCTCATTTATGTATCCAGTATGCATTACCAAAGTCACTTAGCGTGGCTCGTTTAGCTGTCAATGTCATGGGAACTTTGCTAACAGGTATGTAGCCAATCAATATCAACAAAAACTTCTAACATAAATTAGTACATATGGTTTCTGAATTTAGTGACATAGTATGTTTTTGTGTCACTGTGAGGCAATATGATATGTGTTACTATTAGTTTAATTCTATCTTTTGAATTATTCTACTTCTGAAAAGTTTTTTATTTACAAATGTGATTTATAGTGTAGCAGGTATGAATAGGTAGGAAAATTGTATCTTTCATTTCGTGAAAGAATATATAGACTTATAGTAAATATAATATGCCTTCCACATTTTATAAGTGGAAACCAAATCTTTCTGAATGTAATTATGTCAGTAGAAAACAAGTTAGGGTTTATTACAAATGCTCAGAGTCTGGAAAATTATAATCATATATATAAATAAGAGATAAATATAGTAGTTGGTTCCTTAAGTTCTAAACCATATCCTAAGATTTTAACTACCTTCTGGTTTATAGAGTAAAAGGTATAAAAATAAACTACTTTAAAATATATGAACTAGGCCAGGCATGGTATCTCACTCCTGTAATCTTAGCAGTCTGGGAGGCCAAGGCAGGAGGATCACTTGAGGTCAGGAGTGTGAGACCAGCCTGAGCAAGAGTGAGACACCATCTCTACTAAAAATAGAAAGAAATTAATTGGACAACTAAAAATATATAGAAAAAATTAGCCAGGCATGGTGATGCATGCCTGTAGTCCCAGCTAATCGGGAGGCTGAGGCACGAGGATAGCTTGAGCCCAGGAGTTGGAGGTTGCTGTGAGCTAGGCTGACGCCATGGCACTCACTCTAGCCTGGGCAACAAAGTGAGACTATGTCTCAAAAAACAAAAATATATATATATGAAATATAATTCAATCCTTTAAAGTTATGGTTTAGTTAATTTAGTATTCTTTCTCAGTGTTCCCATAATACGCTGTTTATTTTTCTTTACATTGTATTCACCTCATGTTACAATTATTTGTAGTGACTAAGAAATTTACACTGTCTGAATTCAATCCCAACTTTACCACTAACTGGCTGTGTGACCTTTAACAAGTTTCTTAACCTCTCTAAGGCTTATTTAAGAGTTATTTTCAACTGTCATGATAGTACTTTCTTCATTTATAAGATTGTGAGAATTAAATGAAATAATGCATGTAATGCACTTATCACAGTGCTTGGGCTTAATACGAATTTATATCTTCGATAATGACTGAGACTGCTAGATTGTGAGCTCTCTGAAGGTAGGGGCTGGCCATGTCTTAGAAAACTTAGTCTCTCTAGCACAGCTTAGTATGTTATATTGGCTGTGTATGTTGAATTTGAATTTATATCTAAAAAAAGTAAAAAGTAAAGTAAAAAATTCTGTTTTATTTCTTTCCAACAGTTTTAACACAGGCTAAGCGGTATGCTTTTTTCATGCCAACTCTGCCATGTTTGGTCTCTTTTTGTCGAGCATTTCCTCCACTATATGAGGATATTATGTCTTTGCTGATCCAAATAGGACAAGTTTGTGCGTCTGATGTTGCCACTCAGACAAGAGACATTGATCCAATTATTACACGTAAGTGGTAACTCATTTTCAAGAGTTATCTTAATATTTTAAACAAAAAGGCCAAATTCCTTTCTAGATTTTTTGGTTTTAATTTTTCTTTCCTTATGTTTTTAGGTCTTCAACAAATAAAGGAGAAACCAAGTGGATGGTCTCAAATCTGTAAAGATCTGTCTTATAAAAATGGATCCAGCGACACTGGAAGTATGGATCCTGATGTACAGCTCTGTCATTGTATTGAAAGCACAGTAGTTGAAATAATAAACATGAGTGTTAGTGGAATTTAAAAAAATTTAAAACAAAAAAATGAGGCTGTTTGCTGCATATACTCAACATGCATCTGCATCTTGTAACAACTCTAAACTGAAATGGGAACAGTAATATCTTGGAATCATTAAAACAATTCAGTTCAATATGAATACAGTGTAGAACTCTGAGGATTATGCTTGCTTGTATTTGGCACACCTTTGGATCTACTTTGCTGGTATGTTTATATTGTAGCTGTCGAGATTGTTTTCCATTGAGAACACATTTAAGAGACTCATTACTGGAAAGGGAATTTGGCCTTGTATTTAGCTTTTGGAGTGAAGAAAGACTGCCATGCCTTTCATTTCTTATACAGATGAGTCTATGGGTAGCCTTAGTAGTGTTTATTTTAATTGTGAGCTTGTAACAGAGTTCAAAAAAGATGCAATTATAGGAGGGAGAAAAAGGTATCAAGAGAAAGGAGAACTGAGGAAAAATTAGGAGTTAAATATCTAAATAGAAATCTCAGACTCGCAGTATAAGTCATAATAATGCAAGGTGGAATTCTAGTTCTCAAGAAACAATATTGAGAAGGCTTTAAAAAAGGCAGGTAGCTTTTATAATTGTTTTCCATGGAATACAGATAAGGATTTAAAGATTTCACATATTTGCTTCAATTTTTACTAATATATGAAGCCATATGTTTAAAGAGATACTTGAATAATTTGGAATTTTAAGATAATGGTTTAAAAGTGTTTACAGAAACATCTTTCTGCAAAGAAGAACCTGAAAGGAGGTCTCATTTAGTTTTTTGTTTTAAATTTATTTTTATAATGCTTTATTAACTTATCTGATGCTCAGAGGGGGGAAATAGGTATCAAATTAAATGATGTTTAGAGCAATAAAATCCACTGGATTAAAGAGCTCTTAGTTTGTCATCAGGATCATAATTCATATCTTAACTTTGAGAAGTTCTTTGAGTAAGAAAATATATACAGTGTTTGAACCTCAGGAAAAATTAAAATATGGAAAATACTGTCTTGCTGAAGGATTTCAGTCCTCTGTTAGTAACTTCCATTGATTAGGCAGATGCATTCAGGTAACCCATAATCCTTTTTTTAAAATTAAGTATCCATGTAGAAGGTACTTCTCTTTATCCTCTGAGATATACCTCAATCACACACTTTTTCCCCCTACTCAAAATAGACCTCTTCACTTGTAAAAGAAGTTAGATAGGCTAAAAAGTGTGGTTTTTAAGAAATTTAACTTCAGCCTTTTCACTAGCAAATAGTCACATCTCATTTTCCTTCTCTGTAAAATGGGGTTACTACTGGCCCTACCTCATAAAGGTATTCTGTAAGAACTAGTTTGTAGCTGTTTCAAATCATGAAGTGCATAGTATCATATGTGATAGAATATTTATAACTTTTTATTAGATGCTTAATGTTCAATTAAGTAATTTTGATGTGAAAAATAAAAGCATATGCTTAAAAAATAACATAAGAATTTCATATTTTTAAACAAGGCAGTTTTGTAAGTCTCTTAAGATTAAATACAAATCCAGTTTTGTTCTGTTTCTTTTAACTGAGGCCTTGGAATATTTTGTGTGAATAGGGATCCTCTAAGGGTTCAGGAAAAGTTGAAGAATGTTTTCTAGCTAAATGCAGTGCACATTCCTGGATTGATTTTCAAAGACTGGTCAGAACCTGATGTGTTAAAATATAACATATGCTGTTTTTCATCAGATTTGTTGATAATGTAAATAAAATGTGTAAATATATTAGTAAATGTTAATATTCATGTATTTTAAGTTAAGGTTATAAAATTTGTCACAATGTGATTTTTTTTATTCAAGTGAAAACAGATGTGTGCAGCTATTTTGAATATTTGTTTATAAACATTCATATTCTTTATCAAATGAACTTGTAGTTTTTTGTGTTTCATTCCACTACTATTAACCTGAAAGGGACAGTTCAAGGGATTGGATGCCAGAACTATCTGGCTCCATGGCCTATGTGTATCCTTTTTCTCTTCTGCCACATACATTGAATGTCAATACAAAGTTAGAGCCAATTAACAGTAAATTACTCCCTCATATTTTCTTATCCATATATATTTTCATATTACTGAATTTCTTTTTTTCTTGAGACAGAGTCTCACTCTGCTGCCCAGGCTAGAGTGCCTTGGAATCTGCCTAGCTCACGGCAACCTCAAACTCCTGGGCTTGAGCAATCCTACTGTCTCAGCCTCCTGAGTATCTGGGACTACAGGCATGCACCACATGCCTGGCTGATGAATTTTTTTTTTGGAGACAGAGCGTTCTCTCGTTTGTTGCCAGGCGGTAGAGTGGATGCCATGGCGTACCTAGGCTACAGCAACCTCAAACTCCTACAATCCTACTGCCTCAGCCCCCGAGTAGCGGGACTACAGGCAGCGCAACCATGCAGGCTATTTTTCTATATATATTATTGGCCAATAATTCTTTCTATTTATAGTAAGAGATGGTTCACGTTGTCAGTGTTTCAAATCCTGACCTGGAGAATCCGCCCGCCTCGCCTCCCAGATGGCTAAATTTACAGGT